GTAATCGTTGCTATGGAGGTGACCCTTGTTAGAGCTTGCTTTCATTTTCAATGTGACCCTAAACCCTAAACCCTAAGCCCTAATAGGTGTCTGCGATCTGGAGAAGAACTGATGATGGCCTCTCCCTCACCGTCAGAGACACAGGCTGGACTTCTGAGTGACGTATGACCTGCCTGCCGGAGATCAATCGGGGCTGGTGATTCTAGGGTTTGAGGTTTTGGTGTCAGATCTTCATCTCCGGGCGTTCTACCGATCCGAAACCCAAAATGCAGATTCTCATGGGGCTTGCTGTATCTGTGTTCCTGTGGAGCGATCCCGAAGTGGCCCGAGTTCAATCATGAGTCGCGTGTAGGCTTGCTTCTGAATGGGATCCTGCTGCTGATTTCCACGAATCGCAGACTTTGTAGAGTCCTACTAGACCTCAGCACTTCACATGGCATCCGTGCGTCCCACTGTCCTTTAAACGTCTTGATGCCACTGGTTCAAAACACTTTGCTGGCTTTTCATGTCACGCATGCAAACAGGCATCGGCATGTCTCAGACATGTCTGAACCGCATCTTCGACCCCTTTGAAGTCGAGGACTGCAAACGGTTCAGTTGATTTTCGTTTAGGGTGTAGGGTTTAGCAGATCGTGGTCGTATCTTTGTTTCGATTGCTGAAGAAGTTACACTGCTTTGCCCCACCGCTTCTTGTCCCCAAACCCTAAACCCTAAAGCTTGAGCCCTCCTTGCGACACCCAGTTCAGGACAAGTCGGACTCGCGGAAGTACGAGGGGATCGGCCTAGGTCTCACAGCAGCTGGGGCAAGAAGAGTCCGTCTCAAGGTTATTCAAAAAGAAGCCTAAAGAATTACATTGGGTTTGAGGCTATATTGTACAATAGTTATAATAAGGAGCCCCCCAAACCCTATTCTAATTATTAAGACCTCTACATTGACAGGGTTTGGGGGTTGGTGCCTCTGGGCCTTCTCTGCTTCTAGCGATCAGGATGCCTGACAGACCGGGTGCAACACTGAACATGGGTTACGCGTATTACATGTTCGTCAAGCACTGGAATCACTAGAAGTCGTCTCCGGCAGTATTTCTTGAGCCTTGGAACTTTGTTGTTGATCGTCGTCTCGTTTCAGTAAATTGGAACCTCAGCACAAAGGCAAGACCATCGAAAGCAACACACGCATCAAATGACTTGGATTCGACCCGATGCCCCGCTGGCCCCTGGAGCTGTTTGAAGTTCAATCCTGAGCCCGATGTCCCTAATGCAGAGCATTGCATAGCCAGGTCACACTGCGTACAGTCATCATCTTCTGTTGCTCCGTCAGTATTGGGATGTTGGACTTCAGCACAGCAAACCCCCGAAGCATCAGCTGTGTCGAGTTCCTCAGAGGGAATAGCTTTTTGATGGAGCTGGTTCCTGGAGGAGGTTTCTCGAGGTGTCGTTGGTGGATGCCCCAGATATCACATTCGAAGACCCAGGTGGTCAGAGAAATCGCCCGACTTCATGGGGCGAAGCTCTTTGTCAAGAGCACCAAGGGCGCCACCCGGGCTGCACTGATGAGGTTTCACCCTTGTGTGCTGGGCTTCTGGTGTTTACAGAGCTAAGGCTTCGGGCATTGGTGTGGCCTGGGTCTGGGGCTTCGACTCGCATTCCTGATTAGCGTTTGTTGGCCACCCTTTCGGTTCTTGCCATAAGCAATGGTTCCAGGATGAGGTCCGGCTACAAGACAGAAGGTTGATATTTCTTAGTGAGTGTATGCAGACATGCGCATTTCAAAAAGAAACACTTTTCAATACCAAGCTGCCTACAGCTCATGTCCGCGTGCATCGGCTAGAATGACCATGCCTCTTGTAGCGTCAACTGAGCACATGAACTTCCTCGGCTGAGATTGGCTCGGCTCTCATCCTCCAACACCCCACAGAGGCAAACCGCAAAGTCTGCACCCACAAGTTCCAAATCGATGTGAGGTTTTCCAG